GCCGGCCGCCGGGCCCAGGAGGAGCGGAGCAGGGGAGCTGGGACACACGGGCGGAGCCGCCGCAGCTCCTGCTGGGACCAGCGCCCAGGGCCCGTTAGTCCAAGCTGGAGCTTCAGGGGAAGCCTTCCCGGGGAGATTGACCCTGCCTTCCCCTCCCTCGGGCCCAGGCCTCGCTTTGCTCCCCGCCAGCCCATGGTCCCGGTCCTTCCTTGGCGCAGACACCCTCCCCCCTTATCCCTTGGGCTCTCTTTTCCGCAACTCCCATCAGCCGGGAGGCGCCCCCAGGCTTTTGTACCGGCCCCCTCCTCCCCGCACCCCATCCCAGCCGCAGATCCCCTGGACCTTCTCAGCTTGGGAGCCAGCAAGCTACTTGGCCGGCCAGCGCTGCCCCCATCCCACACACAGGCCCCCTCGGAGTCTCCCTCCTCCTGCCCCCCTGCTCACGTGTGCCTGGTCCTCAGCCCTGGCCCGAGGCTGCTAGACCCACCCCTTACCCAGTCCCGAGGCCCCCTCCCACTACACCCTCCTCTCCCCGCGCGGCCCCACCACCTTCTGTGCCCCCACCCACTTAACCTGGCCTTACTTTTCTTCCTGACCTGCGTTCCCAGGTGCCAGGCTGGGCGGTGCTTGGGTTTCCCCCGTAGGCCACACTGGCCCCAGGGCCTGGGGGAGGTGGGGTCACTGCTGTGTCCCCATGGCACTGCCCTCCCTCCTGCTGTTAGTGGCAGCCCTGGCAGGTGGGGTGCGCCCTCCCGGGGCCCGGAACCTGACGCTGGCGGTGGTGCTGCCCGAGCACAACCTGAGCTATGCCTGGGCCTGGCCGCGGGTGGGCCCTGCCGTGGCCTTAGCTGTGGAGGCCCTGGGCCGGGTCCTGCCCGTGGACCTGCGCTTTGTCAGCTCCGAACTGGATGGCGCCTGCTCCGAGTACCTGGCACCGCTGCGGGCCGTGGACCTCAAGCTGTACCATGACCCGGATCTCCTCTTGGGCCCCGGGTGCGTGTACCCAGCCGCCTCAGTGGCCCGTTTTGCCTCCCACTGGCACCTTCCCCTGCTGACCGCGGGCGCCGTGGCCTCTGGCTTCGCCGCTAAGAACGAGCATTATCGCACGCTGGTTCGCATGGGCCCCTCGGCGCCCAAGCTGGGTGAGTTTGTCGTGACCCTGCACGGGCACTTCAACTGGACTGCGCGCGCCGCCCTGCTGTACCTGGATGCGCGCACCGATGACCGGCCTCACTACTTCACCATCGAGGGCGTCTTTGAGGCCCTTCAGGGCAGCAACCTCAGCGTGCAGCACCAGGTGTATGCCCGGGAGCCGGGGGGCCCTGAGCAAGCCACCCACTTCATCCGGGCCAACGGGCGCAGTGAGTGTGACCCAGGGCTGCTTCTGGGGGGTGGGTGGATGGGTGGGTGGGGAGGGTGGTCATCTCTTTGGAGCCCAGCGCTGGGGAAGTGGAGGCAGACCGCCGGTGGAGGTCAGGAGGGCCCTGCGGGGCCAAGCGGCTGTGAAAGGGGAAGGCGTAGGGAGGGGAGCTTGTGGACACCTTGTCGGACATACGGCAAGAGTGAGATGTTCCGAGGAGGGAAGTTGTGTCCATACCCGTGGAGGATGTGAGATGTGGGAATGTAGAGGTCAGGAAGCAGTGGGAGTGCCCATTTGGGAATGTGGTTGGGTGCCCCTGTGTGTGTGTGGAGATTTCCCAGGCAGGGGCATCAAGACCCCTTAAGAAACAAAAGCACAACTCCACTGCCATCGAGTCCATCCCGATGGATAGTGACCCCGTGGTGGAGAGCGTGGTAACAGTGAGCACTCTGTGCCTGGGGTCGAGGGCTGAGCAGATGTGGCTGGGAAGCCCAGGCGAAACTCATGCTCAAAGCTCTGAGCAGTCAGTGCCTTTGAGCCAAGGCAATAGCAGAGGAGAGTGGTGTGTGTAGGGCTGGGTGGTGAGTAGCAAGGGGTGGGGAATGTGTGTGTGGCTCGAGGATGATGGCTCCCTCCCTCTGGGGTCTGGAGCCAGGCTCTGACTTCTGCCAGATGGTCCACATGGCCCTGGGGTACGTGTGACAGAGTCTGAGAAGGGGGAGGGACGGGAGCATCTGCTGGCCTGGGCTGTTGATAAGCACGCTCCTGCGGGCTAAAATGGAAACAGATGACGCCGGGAGGGGTCTGTTTGGGGACCTGGACGCGCTCTCAGGGTGCTCCTCTGTCCTGTGCCTGCTCCCAGTTGTGTATATCTGCGGCCCTCTGGAGATGCTGCATGAGATACTGCTTCAGGCCCAGAGGGAGAACCTGACCAATGGGGACTATGTCTTCTTTTACCTGGACGTCTTTGGGGAGAGTCTCCGTGCGGGCCCCACGCGCTCCACAGGCCGGCCATGGCAGGACAACCGCACCCGGGAGCAGGCCCAGGCCCTCAGAGAGGCCTTCCAGGTATCCCCTGAGCCAATTGGAGGAGGAGGAGGAGGAGGAGGAAGAGGTGCTATACTGGAGAGGATCTTTCACCCCCCCTCCCCAACCCCAAGCCCCACAGGAACCCCAGGAACAGGCCAGGAACGCTTGAGTTACAGGAGGGAGGTGAACACAGGCTTTCCAAGTCTCCTGCATCCATTTCCAGGTCCCCACCTGCGTGACTCTGACTCGGTTGTTTGCCGACTAATTACCTCCAGTCATGCCCCAGCACTGATGTTCTGAAATGCCCAGAGTAGGCTGTGTGGTGAGGGAGAAAAGACTAGCAAGAGATCGCTCACAGGGCCTGGGAGGACTCCCACCCGACTTGGTAAGCCCAGGCATGGTGGCAGCCCAGTGAGACACAAGCGTGAGCAAGTGTCCTGGGACACACACACTGAGAACTTGTTATGGCTCAGAGGAGGAAGCGTCTTTGCGGGCTGGGCTTCGGAAGGCTTTATAAAGGAAGACTCCGGAGGTAGATGTGGTATTCCCAGGCAGAGTGGGAGAGGGTATCCAGGCCGCCTGGAGCAAAGAGAAAACATGTAGGAATGGGCATACTTGGGCGACCAAGAAGATAACTTATCTGACAAGAAAGAAAGATTCCTTTAATGGCGATGCAGGAAATAATGTTGAAAAGATAGCATCGGTGGGAAGAGAGGGCTGAACCTAAGATGAAGGCACTTGGACTTGAACTTGAGGGTCCTTTTGTGAAGTGTGTTTGTGCAGATGGCAGTGATCGTTCAGGCTGGAAGCTGCGACAGGGATTCTAGAGCGAAGCCAATGGTAATGGCCAAGAACAGAGTCTGGTGGTGTGGGCCTCAGGAGGGTAATGGTAGTGTGCATGAGAAGAGAGGAACTTACAGAAAAAGAATTGTAAGAAAACACGGAAAGAACTCCGCCCATTTCAATGTTTCTGCACGAAACGGTCAGTGACGTGCCCTAGAGAATCAAGTTCCGACTCCTTGTTGGGATGTTTCGGACCTTTGTCGCCTGGCCTCAGCTCACTCTTTCAGTCATACCTCTTCTGAAAAATTGGCTAGACTTCTCTCAGAGTGCTGACCCCCGAGCTTTCTTGCCCCCACGCTTCTGTGTGCCTTTTTCTTTTGTCTGGGATGTGCTTTCTTCCCTCACCCCAAAGCTCTGCCTCTCAAAAATCCTACCTAGGAAGCGCTTCCGGATTCTCCGCCAGTCTTGCATGAACTTAGGCCCGCTGTTACGTTGTGACTCTATTCGTCTCCCTCCTTTTGCCCCATAGGATTTGAGGTAGCTTGTGAAGTGACCTTAATGTCCTTTCAACCCTGAGCCTTGAATTCTAGGGTTCACTTACGTTGTGGTAGGTGGCTGTTCTTCTGTAGTAAGGTTTTCTGTGGCAGTGACTTGAATGTGAAGTTCTTTTTGTTGTGTGTGTGTGTGTGTGTGTGTGTGTGTGCGTGCGGATGGTAGTGACAGTTCAGTTGGATGAGAAGAAGGGGATTCTAGAGCGAAGCCAATGGTAATAGGCCAGAAAGGAGTCTGGAGATGTGGACCAGAAGTAGACTCATGGGAGTGGACATGTGGTTGTGACTGACTCATGGGTCTGACTGTGAGTGACATCGCTGTTGGCATGGCTGAGTGTGCATCTGTATGGCCACACTTGAACAGCGGCCAGTGGCGGGTTCTGTTTACGCGATACATTTTGCCTAAGACAGCTACCTCACCTTTATCTGATTAGATAACACTGGTATATTCAGATGAGTTCTTTTCCCTTCCGGGAAGCCACCTCCGAATCTTCAGGTTGGCCTAAGCTTCCCACTCCGGTGTTGAACTCCACCATAGAAGTGGCCGCCCTGGTTCAGCCAGTGCTTGTCCACTCCTTGACCCATGTGAAGAGTGAGTCCTTCTCCTAGGATCGATTGAACATGTATGTGTTAAGCCTCATGCCCTGGGCTGGGCCCTGCAGACCATGCAGAACATAACCGATAGAGCTCTTCCATTTGGGAGCTTGTATTTAGTGGGGCGTGTGGACAGTGTACATGTGGGCAAAGAAATACAAACACAGGAGCACATTGCGATGAGTGTTAGTAAAAAGAAAAGGAGAAGAGGCTGGTAGGAGAAGAGTGTGACCAGGGCATGCTCCCGTAGCTGGCACCGGGCGGCACGGTGGGCAAAGTGTTGGGCGGTGGATCAAGCTCACCTGCTGCTCCGCAGCAGAAAGCTGAGGCCGCCTGCTTCCCTCCAGATGTCCCAACTCAGAGGTCCCCTCTATGGGGCGGTTCTCCTGTGTTGTAAGCGTTGCTATGAGCAGAATGAGCTGGATGGTAGTGGACTCGTGGCTTTGCTGCCAGAGGAGCCCTGGTGGCACTGGGGTCATCTGTTGGCTGATGACCACCCAGTGGGCAGTTGGAACCTGTGTAGCAGACAGCGGTGGTGGTCTGCTTTCACAAGGAGAGACCCCCCTGAGAAACCCAGTGGGGGCAGTGCTAGACTGCCCTCTAGGGTCCCTGTGAGTCAGAACGGACTCAGTGGCACTGGGTCGGCTTTAGCTGATGAGGTCAAGGAAGGTCTCTCTGACCCTCCCTAGGGGAGGATGCCACAGCTCTCTCCTGGGTGAACATGCCTGCCAACGTCAGGGGAGAGGATCGAGTCCGCTAACAGTCACATATATCAATTGATTCTCAGTTCTCCCACTCCCTGCAGGCGTTGCTCAGGCGGGGTCACCGAGGGGTGGTGGTTTTGGTACAACGTGAGCTGGGGAACAGACACTAAGAGAAAACCCAGAATTGGGGGTGGAGTGGGGCGGGCGGGGGAGGGGGCTTTGCGGCGGATGATGAAGTGCCCACTAGCACAGCCACTCTTGTCCCTTTCCGGTGCTGAAGCAGCATAGGGGCCAAGGGAAGTTGGGTGATCCACCCCCGTCAGTGGATGAAGGAGCAGGGGCCTCCCCTCCGAGATGTCACTCTCCCTGAGATCCCAGACCAGGCCAGGGCCAGGGGAGGAGAGGCGGCTTTGCCACAGATGCCCAGGGCTTTTCCAGGAGGGCGTCTAACTCGAGGGGAAGTCTGTCGGTAGGACTTCTCTCTCCCGTTAGACCATAGCCACCTCAAGGGCAGATCATGCTCCTCTTTGTATCCCATATGGTCAGGATACAAATGTGGACTTGATGACTTCAAGTGTGTGTTGGGGAGACAGGGACGTGCCTGGGAAGTTTGTCTAGACAGGAATGGAGCAGGCAGGCACGATAAGCCAGGGCATTCCGCCAGAATAGGGAGCACGGAGGAGACCCAGTGGAACAAGATAAGCACAGGACCAACTAAGGATCCAGAGGCCCTGGCCGTCCCATTGGGGACCGGAGGGTCAGACCCTGTACAGCCCACAGCCTAGGTGACCAGCCTCAGAGGGGTTGCAGGTGGTGGAACATCAGCTGCAGGAATGGAACAGCTGCAAAGCCAGGGCTGTGTAAGGCAGTCTCCTCTGGGAGACCATTCTTTGTTGGCAGTGCCTCCAGCCTGAGCCAGCCTCCTCGTGGGTGGCCACGCCGCGGCGGGCAGCTCCACCAGGGCACTTTACCTAGGTGCCCTCCTGGCTTCCAGGCTGGCCACCCACCGGGGGACCTATTTTGAGCAGTCTTTGCTGGTTTGTTTTCTTACCTGGGATCCACCGTGAAATGGGACAATCACATAGCTTCTTTCTAGCCTCCCCCGCCCCAGCCAGCACACAAACTCTTGGGAGGATTATTATGATTATTATTTTAAATTGCTAGTATCCAGAGCAAAACCCACTCCAGCCCAGCAGTTTTTCAAAGTGTGGTCTCTCAACCGGGGGGATCTTTGGAATGCTCTGAGGGGACCACAAGGTCAGGATGAACGAGTTACAACGTAACAGGGAGATGTCGCTGGCCTTGGCCCCCTCCCTCTTTCACGAGTGCCCAGTGGAGTTTTCCAGCAGCCATGGGGCGTGTGATGATGCCATCGCCCTGGCTGGGAATGGAAGGTGTGCCTGGATCTCCTGGTGTTCCCAAACGTGATGTTTCAATGTGGGGAATATTCATAGGCAGAACCCGCATAAACTAAGCTCTCTGGAATCCACCGTCATTCATAAGAAGTCCCGAGACCCAAACGTTTGAGGGCCTGTAGTCTAGGAAACAAGCCAATCTAGAGAATTAAAGCCCATGACCCTTGAGTGGGGGCCAGCTTCTAGCATAGTCAGGTGGAGGAGGACCACTCTGCAGGGTGGGCTCTAGACAGAAGCAGGCTGCCACTGCTTTCTGCTGTGAGTGGTGGGTGGGCTTGAAGCACTGACCTTTGGGGTTAGCCAGCAAGCACTTCAACCATGATGCCACCCTGCTTATAGAGAATGATTGCTACAAAACAGAACAAACACTTGAAGCCCCTTTCCCCGGCCCTTACGGAAATGTACGCTGTGTGAAACCTGGTCTTTTCCAGCTCGTTTGCCCTTTTTTACGATGTTTCTCGACAGTTCCTCCTGCTCTGTTTTTCTTTCATTCCAGAAGCAGGAGCTCAGAAATGAACTCCTTCTGGCCCAGCCCTCAGTCCCTCCCCCTCCCTTTGAATTTTGCCTGCGAGTGTTCGAAGCTGTGATCAAGCAGCCAAATGTGCTAGAAAGAATGATTATATCTTGAAAGCAAACTCTAGTCTAATGTGAATTGAAAAATCAGAACGATTGCTGCCAGATTCTGTTGGTTCTTTGTGACCGCAGGTGTGGGTTTCAGGTACTGATTTTTTGGGAAATAGATCACCAGGACTTTCTTCTGAGGGACTTTTGGGTAGACTTGAACCTCTTACCTTTGTGTTAGCAATTGATGTGCCAACCATCTCAGCCTAATGTAATGAATGTGGACTACAGATTTACAGAATCATTTTCTACCTGGGTTGAATCAATGTCCTGTGTAATCAGTTGCGTATGACAGAACTAGTATTTCTGGGGTTTTCATGTATTTTATTTGAGGACACACATTCCGATTTTGATTCTGATTCCAAAAACCGATTCTGACTCGGAGCGATCCGGTAGGAAAGGGTAGAAATGCCCCTGTGCGTTTCCAAGACTGGAGCTTCATATGAGAGTCGCAAGTCTCACCTTCCGCCCGAGGAGTGGCTGGTGATTTCAAACTGCTGACCTTATGGTTAGTAGCCCAGTTCCGCACCACTAAGCCACCAGGGCTCCTGTTTTAGATGTTACGGATTTTAAAAACTGCTTTAAGTTACTAGATGAGAAGTGGGTAGATTTTTATTATATGTTTCATCAATTCATCCTTCACAGAAGATACAAAACCTGTCACTGAAGTCTTGCGTCACATCCCAGGCTGGTCTCAGTGACCCCGTGGGTCCGCGGCCATGGTGGAGGCTGGCAGGTCCCTCGAATAGGGAAGTGAAGATGTGTGAGAGCCATGGGAGCCAGGCGGGGTGCTTCAGTGAGAGACAGAGACCCAAGACTTTGCACCCCTGAGATCATGTACCTGGGCGTGTGACTGTGTGTGTCTGTGACACCTGTCTGTACTGGGTGACATGTAAGACCACTCCCCTGAGCAGCACAGGGCTGCTGTGTAGGTGTCCCACACAGGTCACCTGGGGGGACTGGTAGGTACCTCTGTATTCTCGCCCCCACCCCCCATCAGAGGGCCTGGAGTTTCTTTAAGCACTGGACTGAGGCACTGTGTTCGAGTTGCCCACATGAGAATGTCCATGTGTTACTGATCCCATCAGTAGGAGTGAACATGTAGGGAGTGATCTGATGCACCTTGTCCCAGTCTTGACTAGGTTCCCCCCTGACAACCCCCCCTCCCCCCACAGGGCGGGCTGCGAGCCAGTGAATGCTGGGCCAGCCTGGTAGGAGTGCCTGGTGTAGGAGCAGTTTCAGAAAGATGGAGGGCTGGACTTGGGGGGTGCCGTTGACTTCATCTCTTTCCTCGTCTTGATCTCCGGATCAGCCCTATCTCCTTTCCATAGGGGAGTGCTGCTCCCCCCGCCTCAGAGATTTCACAGTCTTCTTTCAGACATCATCTCACGTTCCCGCCCTGCCTGCTCTCCTCCCCCAATGGTCTTCTGGAAACCCGTGCCCATTCTGTCTTGTGCTGCCGCCTCCGCAGACGGTGTTGGTGATCACATACCGAGAGCCCCCCAATCCCGAGTACCAGGACTTCCAGCATCGTCTGCTGCTGAGAGCCCGGGAGGACTTTGGTGTGGAATTAACCCCCTCCCTGGTACGTCGATCTCTTACTCCCTGAGAGTCAGGCCAGGCTCAGAAGAAGAGCTCCCTTCCCTAACGACCAAGCCTTGGCCCTGGAACAAGCCCCACTTGGGGCTATGCCCTTCTTTCAAGGACAGTCCCTTCTGCCTTAGGGACCAGTTAGGCAGGGGTGGCAGCTCAGCAGCGAGAGGAGGGCAGAAAACCAACCAGAAGGGAGAAGAGGTGGACGGGAAGGGGCCCTCTCGGGGCATTTGAAGGGTAAGCTGAGGTTGCCTTCCCAGATGAACCTCATTGCTGGCTGCTTCTATGATGGGATCCTGCTGTATGCCGAAGTCCTGAACGAGACCATGCAGGAAGGAGGCACCCGTGAAGACGGTCTGCGGATCGTGGAGAAGATGCAGGGGAGAAGATACCGCGGTAATGGAGAGGGCTGGCACTGGGCTCAGAAGGGGAGTGGCAGGGGAAGGTACAGCTGCCAGGGTCAGGAGGGAGAGTTAGTGGGGTCTGAGAACATGGTGGAGGTGGCACCTATCAGGAACAAAGGGGTTGGGGCAGGGGGATGGGGGCGGATAGACACTGGGGTAAATGGAGGCATGGTGAGGATGGGAAGGGGCCCGGAGGTACATTTCAAAGTAAGGGGTACTCTTTTCTATCTTAGGTGTAACTGGCCTGGTTGTTATGGACAAGAACAATGACCGGGAGACGGATTTTGTCCTATGGGCCATGGGAGACCTGGATTCCGGGGACTTTCAGGTGATGGGGGTGGGGAGAACAGGGAAGGGAGTGTGGGCGCCACAAATCCAGCGTTTGTAGGGCCCAGTCGAGGCAGACTCATGGCCTGAGAGGCAGGGACTTAACTTCTCGGCTGGGACCGCCTCGTGGGTGGGTGAGTGGTGGGAGAGCAGGCCTGTGGGCCCAGCTATCTCCTCCCTCACAGCCTGCAGCCCACTACTCGGGAGCCGAGAAGCAGATCTGGTGGACAGGGCGGCCTATTCCATGGGTGAAGGGGGCGCCCCCGCTGGACAATCCCCCGTGTGCCTTTGACTTGGACGACCCGTCCTGTGATAAAAGTGGGTGTGTGCAGGGACTGGGAGCGACCCTTCCTCCCTTTCCTTTACATACCTGCCTCCCCCCACTGACCCCCAGCCCTCCAGCTGCCTGCCTCGTGCCGAATTTTCACCTCCGTGCCACCCTCGCTCCCTCCTGACTGCTTTTCCCCGAGAACTCTTCCGGCGTCCCGCCCTCACGCATCCCCACCCTCCCCCTTCTCCCAGCTCGGGGGTCACAGTCTTTCTCAGGGCCCCTCTCTGTCTCCTCCAGCTCCACTCTCCACTCTGGCAATAGTGGCTCTGGGCACAGGCATCACTTTCATCATGTTTGGGGTGTCCAGCTTCCTCATTTTCCGGTGAGTTCGGACCTGTCCGCTGCTCCACTACCGACCTCCCCGGTGCTACCTAGACTTCTGGTTTTCCCTGCTTTCCAATAAGTTCATTGAAACGCAGTTCACGTGTCATACACTCCCATACTGGCCATCTTAAGAAGAGCTGTGTGTGCATCCCCACACTCAGGTCCAGAACATCCCACCTCCTCCTACCTGTATTTCTCCCCTTCTCCTCCAGCCTCCCCTTCCCCACACCCCCACCCCCAATGGATCCCCGGTAAGCCATTACACCAGTCATTGACTCTACATCTGCCCACCTTGCGCTTCCTATCCTGGAAAACATACCAAACCCCAACGAAATAGGCAAATATATTTAGAAATGGAAGAAGAAAACAAAAGCCAATAATAATAGTAAAATAAACCAGAGGGGGGAAGAAAAAACCTCTGTCAAGAAAACAGCAGGAGATATTGGAAACTAGAACAAATCCAAAGTGGGTCACAAGGGAGAGCAAGCGATCAGGTTCCACATTTTAGCCAGATTCCATCTGCCATCATCAAGGTTACATTAGTCCCTGTCTGACAGCCAGGGAAGCCACGTCCCTCAACTGTGCTCACAGGGGATGGAGCCACTAGGAGCTTCTCCGTACAGACACTTTGGCTGAGGCCCTGTAACCTGGAGAAGGTTTCTTGATTTGATGAGAACATGTTCACTCTGGCCTTAGGTGGTGTTTGGCTATTTGTAAGTGCTGCCCTGAGTATCCTAACTTGTGATTGTGCGTGGGGTGAAGATCAAAGGTGAATTTTCTGTGGGTGCTACCGTTTTAAGAAATCACGTTTACTTTTGATGGGTGAGCTTGCACACGAGCACAGGGTGTGCGTCAGCCACGTAGAGAGTGCACCTGTGTCTTTCAGCCCTGTCCCCCTCTCGAGGGGTCAGTGTGGGAGCTTCAAGAGCTGCCGCGTGGGCTCACGGAGTGGCAGGCTTGGGCTTGGTGGCCCACTGAGGGGTGTGGTCCTTACAGAAAGCTGATGCTGGAGAAGGAGCTGGCGAGCATGCTGTGGCGGATTCGCTGGGAGGAACTACAGTTTGGCAATTCCGAGCGTTGTCATAAAGGTGCAGGCAGTCGTCTCACGCTGTCGCTGGTGAGCCATTGCCTCAGCCGTCCCTCTGCTGGCCCCCCCGCCCCCCCACTGTCCCCGTCTTTCCGAGCCCTGGACCTTCCCCAGCACACCGGCCTGTAATGACTACCCTTGCACTACCACCGCCATCTAATGTTCCTCTCATCCTTCCGCCTCCATGTTGCCCTTGGCCCCAGCGGGGATCCAGTTACGGCTCGCTCATGACAGCCCATGGGAAATACCAGATCTTTGCCAACACCGGTCACTTCAAGGTGAACAGTCGTCCGCTTCTTCTGGTCCCCACCATTTCATCCTGTCTCATCCCCATCTACCAGCTCTGCCCGACACTTCCACCCCTCGTCCCTTCCTCCTCCTTCTCCTCCTCCTCTGTGCCCAGCTGAGCTCCTGGATGCTCCCACAGGTCTCCAGTATGCCCACACCTCCAGCAACTCCGTCTGATGTTAATTTTTCCTCCCCCCGCCCCGCCCCCCTTCATTTCCACCATCAGGGAAATGTTGTTGCCATCAAACATGTGAATAAGAAGCGCATCGAGCTGACCCGGCAGGTTCTGTTTGAACTCAAACATGTATGTAATGGGGGATGGATGGCGGGGTGGGGGTGGGGGTAAGAGGGCAAGGGGGGTTTTAAGTTAGAAATACGACTAAGGGAAAAGTCCTCTCACGTCGTGATGGATTTCTGTACCTACTGTTTAGCTTCCTCGCTGCTCCCGTTTCTCACCACCTTTGTTGCTTGCTCGCTTGTTTCTCTGGCTAGATGAGAGATGTTCAGTTCAACCACCTCACTCGCTTTATTGGGGCCTGCATAGACCCGCCCAACATTTGCATCGTCACTGAGTATTGTCCTCGAGGCAGCTTGCAGGTGAGGGGCAGGCAGGTGCAGGGAATCGTCGGGGAGGGGCAGTGAGGGGAGGGAACAAAGAGCCCCGGCGTTAGGTGACGTCATGGCCTGAGAGAGTGGGACTAAGACACTCACGTTCTGGATCCTCTGTCACGTACCAGGATATTCTGGAGAACGACAGTATCAACTTGGACTGGATGTTCCGTTATTCACTCATCAATGACCTTGTGAAGGTGAGTCTTCTCCACTCTGTAAGAGTTCACCCACTTTAAAGTGCCTCCCTTTGTCCAAGGGTCCCTGGCTGGACGTTGGGTGAGCACTGGATGGCTAATCAGCAAGTGGGCGGTTCAGATTCACGAGCTTATCGTTGGGAGAAGGTGGGGCTGTCTGCGGTGCCCAGGCAGGGTTCCTATGAGTTGGCATGGACTAAATGGCTGTGGGATTTCTTTCTTTGCTGAATGAAGGTTTCTCTCCATCTGGTCCTCTGAACATCCACTTCTCTCCATTCCCCTTACTCCCAGGGTTGGGGAATGATGCGTAAATAAGGTACCTGGGGCGTATCCTTGGGAGAGTTGCATTTTTTTATCTGTCACAGGGAATTTCATACCTATCAGTTTTGTTTCTCTACCCTGTAGATCTCAGACTCTCTCCATGATCTTGTTGACCTCTACCAGTTTTTATTAAAATTCCCTTACAGTGAAAGAGGAGTGAAGTCTACAGACATCTTTATATGCTATTTTCCTTCTGATCATTTTACTCTCTGACCAATATTTGCTGAATCTGCTCTCTTGTTCAGTAAAACCCAAATCTCAAAGAGCATAATTACGAATACAAGAAAGATAAAATGAGAAAATTATCCTAAACCTCTGGCATTTCCATGTGTAGTCTTCTGGGTCTCAGCCTTCTTTCCAAGTGGCCCATCGGCCCATGAAATTCTGGAGGCAGAAATCTGAGCCTTGCATAGGTAGGACAGGCAAATCTTGTTGCCAGTGAGCAAGCCTCCTGGATCACCTCAGATTGTCACCTCAAGCTAACTTTGGTTTCTCTGCTTAATTCTCATGAAACTACTTTTAAAAAATTAACTGTGGTGCTAGTGAAAGTGTGACATCAAGTGAGAGACACAGAGGAGGTGAAGCTGATGCGGGCCTTCGCTGGGGTTGTCGTGGTGAAGACAACAACAATACAGCTGGACAGAGAGATGGTTTGATGGGAAAGTGATTTAGAAAAACGCAGCTTAACCATGTCTCTACTGACAGATTGGGGGGGGGGGGAGGATTCTACAGGTGGGTTGAGATCAAGAGCTCACGGTGTAAAAGGAAGAGCCCACAGAGAGTAGAATTTCAGGTTAGCGCTAAGCCTTCAGACATAGGTGATCTGGGTTTCGATGTGTGGACACCACAGATGGTTGCTACCCGCTCAGAACGGATTTGTGGTCTCTCAGGGTTTCATTTGGGGGGATGTACCACTCTGCCCTCTGGGAACCTCTCTTCGAGCCCCTCACAGGCACAGCAGCCAGGCGTCTCAGGCTCCTCTGTTGGCCTGGCTTCATTCCATCCATTCTTGGGGTTCTTCTGATTTGCTGCTTGCTCATCTCTTTGACTAGATCCCATCCCTCCTCCACTTGCAATCTCCCATGAGTGTTACGGAGAGTGTGTGCATGCATGGTTACACGAGTGTTTACAACTGGTTGGTCTTTTCTACTCTTGATGTTTAGAGCTCAAGCCACGTCTCCCTAATTTTTGACCCTGCGTTTGAGACCACATGGGGGGCACCACAGCATCCTTGGGATGAACCCATATAATTCTGTTCTTATTACCACCCACAAGACCGACTGCCCTTTTGAGGGTCAACTGGTAGCTTCCCTCCTCTCTCCTCTTAAGGATTTCACCTACCCTTGGTGCCTGGTACCAACCTACTGCTCACGGTCCCGGGGAGGGAGGACTCTGCCAACCGGCCTGCTTCCCTTGGGTAGAAACTGCAGCTTCACAAGCCAGCCTGAGAGCTAGTCCCGCCTTGTGCAGAGCGCGTATCCCCGTCCAGATGTGGTCCAGTCCCGTGACTCGGTCTGTGTCCTGCAGGGCATGGCCTTTCTCCACAACAGCATCATTGCGTCCCACGGGAGTCTCAAGTCCTCCAACTGTGTGGTGGATAGTCGCTTTGTGCTCAAAATCACAGACTACGGTCTGGCCAGCTTCCGATCTACGGCTGAGCCTGAGGACAGCCACGCCCTCTATGCCAGTGAGGTCCTCCTCTCCCCAGTCCCCTTTTGATCCTGCTCATCTCCACCTGGGGTAGGGGGTGGGGCTATGGCTCTGAGGTAACAGGAATGTGGGGAGCCCCATGGGAATGCACCCAGGTGGGCATGGGAGTGTCCTGTTTTGGAGACCTGGCCAGCTCTTCCCCTGTTTCAGAGAAGCTGTGGACTGCCCCAGAACTGCTCCGTGGGAACACCTTGCCAACCGCAGGCATGCAAAAGGCCGACGTCTACAGCTTTGGGATCATCCTACAGGAGATAGCCCTTCGCAGCGGCCCTTTCTACCTGGAGGGCCTGGACCTCAGCCCCAAAGGTGAGAGTCAGTTCACTATCCACGGGCCCTTCCAGCTGGGGGGCCATGCTCCTCATCCAAACCCTGTATCACCCTCAGAGATTGTCCAGAAGGTCCGAAATGGTCAGCGGCCATTTTTCCGGCCAAGCATTGACCGGACCCAACTGAATGAAGAGCTAGTTTTGCTGATGGAGAGATGTTGGGCCCAGGACCCAGCTGAGCGGCCAGACTTCGGACAGATTAAGGGCTTCATTCGTCGCTTTAACAAGTGAGAGGGCGCGAAGGGATAAGAGACCTCATCAGTCTTGGAGGATGGGGGTTCCAGGGAGGGGGTCTTGGGAATCTTGACCAGACACCCATATCCCGGGCTTTCCTGCAGGGAGGGTGGCACCAGCATCCTGGACAACCTCCTGCTGCGCATGGAGCAGTACGCCAATAACCTGGAGAAGCTGGTGGAGGAACGCACACAGGCCTACCTGGAGGAGAAACGCAAGGCTGAGGCTCTGCTCTACCAAATTCTCCCCCAGTGAGTGCGGCTTTTGCTCCCTGCTCCCAGGGTCTTCCGCGGTGGGGATTCCACTTTGGCCTTCTGCCTCACTGAGCCAAGAACTCACGTCTCACGCTGTAGCCCCCCTGCTTGGTTCCGTCATGCCTTGGTCAGCTCGTCTAGGGCACACAGTAGGACTACGTGCTATCCATCTGCCTCCAAGTGAGCTGTGCTGTCCTGTCTCCTTGCCGGCTTGCCTTGCGTTCCCTTCTCCTTAGGGCACTCCTCTATCACAACCTGGTTCCAGCAAGCGGCTGTACAACCACCCCACCTCAAGGCACTGTGCCCCATGCCCAGGGCTCCCTTCCCCACCCCGTACCACGTGTGCACCTCACGTTGCCCCCCAAGACTGATGTCTTCCCAGCCGTTGTCCTCCTCGGCTGTCCCGCGACAGCCGGATAGGCAGCCCTTTCCTCCCCCTGCTCCTCCGCCCTTTCTCGGAGGTAGGTGCCGATTGTCCCCTTGCTTCCCAGTTCCGTGGCAGAGCAGTTAAAGCGGGGAGAGACTGTACAGGCTGAGGCCTTTGACAGTGTCACCATCTACTTCAGTGACATCGTGGGCTTCACGGCCTTGTCAGCAGAGAGCACCCCCATGCAGGTGAGAGCGGGGGTGGGGGGGGAGGGGGAGAGGCCTGGAGGAGCTCCATCCGCCGGGCGAAGGGAAGCCGTGATCCTGGTGTTCCTGGGTCTTGGCATGGTGTGTGGGTAAAGAATCCTTCCAAAGTGGGGTCTAAGTCTCAGGGCCTTTGCTTTCCCATCCCTGTCAGGTGGTGACACTTCTTAATGACCTCTACACCTGCTTCGATGCCATAATTGACAACTTCGACGTCTACAAGGTGAGATCTGGGGCCACCCTTCTACTGAGAGCCCTCGAAGGCCCTTCTTGATGCAGCCCGCCTCACCCTGTGCTTTCTCTCTCTGGGTGGGCAAGCATCTTGGGTCGCTGTGAGTCGGAATCGACTCGATGGCAGTGAGTTCAGCTTTAATTGGAAGCATCTAGTGCTCTCTGTAGCAGATGTGGCCCTGGCACCATAATGGACATGCTAGTCTAATTTCTCATGAACCGTGGGCCTCCCTGATCACATACTAGATGTGTGCTGCCTGCCACGTGCCAAACACAACGTTAGCCCCTTTCCAATGAGCCAATACCACCTTCCCATCTTACAGACAAAACAACGGAGGCCCGGGCAGTGTCGGTTACTTGCTGGGACATTCAAATCCAGATAGATCCATCTATCTCTGCTCAAAGATCAGAACCGCCCCTGCCCGAGATTGAGCCCCTCATGCTACGCCTTTGCTAGAGGAGATAAATACAGTCTAGCCCTCTTTCCTCTCCAACTCCCTCTGGGCATGGAAGGAACCCACAGAATGTGGGTATAGAAAGGCTTATTACGGTGAGCAGCCAGTCCTGAAAAATATCGTCACAAAGTTCTTTGTTGGAGTCCTTAAGTTGGCAGAGGACGGGCTTTCATTGTGCTTTGGGGCAGAAACTATCTGGACTTAAATATTGCCCTTGTCACTCACTGTGTGGCAATAGCAGACCCTCCCCTGCCGCCGCTGCTTTGTCTGTAAGATGGGGATGTGCTATCTGTCCAATGGAAAGGGCCTAACATTGTGTTTGGCACATGTCAGGTGATGCGGACCCAGTCCCGCCCCTTCTCTTTGGACTTGTTTCTATTTCCCTCCGTTTCCTTTTAAAAAAACACGCTCATTATTTTCTGAACCATTTCAGGGATCCAGCTGCAGGTCTCTGCCTAAAAGCCTTAGTGTCTCTCACACAGCAACAGTTCAACCAACAAACCCAGTGCCTGCTTGCTCTCTTTCCCAGTGAAAGCTGGGCTGTCTGAGGCCCATTGCAGCACGCAGCTCCCCTCCTCCCCGGCCCTCTGAGCTCTTCAGTCTGGCCCTGTTGTCTTGCCTCCTGTTTCCAGAGAGCAGAGCCTATCGGTCGATGCTCTGCTGCAGACAAGGTGTCCTTTCATCCAGCAGAGGTTTCCCGAGGATCCACCAGGTGCTGGAGAGATTTAAAGGTTCTCTGGACCAGGGCTCTTGGTTTCTCATCAATGTCCTGGCCCCCAAGCTGACTTACATTGGGGTCCAGCTGTGCCCCTCTCTTTCCTTTCCAATCCCAAGTGATACAGATAGAGGTAACCTTTTATTCCCCCTCTCAATCAGGTAGAGACCATTGGAGATGCCTACATGGTGGTCTCTGGCCTCCCAGGCCGCAACGGTCAACGCCATGCTCCGGAAATTGCCCGTATGGCCCTAGCGCTCCTGGATGCGGTTTCTTCCTTCCGCATCCGCCACCGGCCCCACGACCAGCTGAGGCTACGCATAGGCGTCCATACTGGTAAGGCTGCCTCTCAACCCGGGCCTCGCTTGTCTCCAGCCTCTCCACACTCTCCCAACCTGTTGTTTCTCATAGGGCCTGTCTGCGCCGGGGTCGTCGGCCTGAAGATGCCCCGCTATTGCCTTTTTGGAGACACGGTGAACACTGCTTCCCGAATGGAGTCCAACGGAGAAGGTGAGCCATTAGTCTGTGCCCAGCCTCAGCTTCAGTCCTTCTTGCTCTGTCCGGCTTTTCAGATTCCTTCAGTTCTCTCAAGCCGAGTAGTCAGAGTTGTGTACTGCCCAGCCCTTGAGGACAGTTCGGGTGTGGTGCTTGTGCATTGGGGAGACCCGGAGGCTCCTGAAGGCAGCAGGGTGGTGGGTTACAGTGCCCTCCAGTCCTGCCACGTTTTCTGTGCTGTTCCTTTGACTCTCCTCTCCACCATCCCTCCCTGCCCCAGCCCTGAAGATCCATGTCTCCTCTACCACCAAGGATGCCCTGGACGAGCTCGGTTGCTTCCAGCTGGAGCTTCGGGGGGATGTGGAGATGAAGGTGATGGCAGGCCACAGGGAGGGGAGTGGAGCAGGAGAATGAATGTGATTAGAGGACCCTGGGGGAAGAGCGGGAACTCTAGGGACTAAGAGGAATCTGAGGTCTCTTCCCTCCCCACTTCCAGGGAAAGGGAAAGATGCGAACGTACTGGCTCCTAGGCGAGCAGAAAGGACCTGCTGGACTCTTATAAACCTCCTTCATCCCAAGGCCAACAGTCTCCTGTGGCTGGTACCCGGGCGGGTGGGCGGACGGGCAGCGGCTGCCATCTCTCCGCACAGCAAAGACGAACATGGTCATGGGATGGAAACCGACGTGCACAAAAACCCTGCCTTAGTGTGGAGGTTGTTGCCCTCCGCACCTCAGCCTTGTACATACTCACGCCCTTCTTTCTTGTGCCTCTACCCCCCCCCTTCTGTAAATATTTGTATCTAAACCAGAATATTTTGGTCAAATATAAAACAAACAAAATCATGGCGTCATGGTCTGGAGGTGAGGTGACCCCAAGGAAAGGAGGTTGTGGGGAATGGAGAGTAAGTGACGAAATCACTGGGCTCCCAGTCTCAGGGTGGAGGAGAATCTTTTATGTACTGTGCCTTCTCAAATAACAGAATCCACTCCCCCTCTCCTCGCCATTCTGGCCAACCTTCACGCTCTACACATACACCCCAGCGCAGTCCTTAGATGGGAGGCGTTCTCCCATCTCTACCACACTGTCCTCCACCCTGGCAAGCCAGGGAAGACATTCCTACCCATTGGTGGGGGTAATTCTCAGGTTCATAGGGTAAAGGCTGCCCTAGAGACAAGGGCACTGGCGTGGTGAAGCTGCAGTTCCTCCGGAACGGTGTGTCCAGTGTCCTGATAGTACTGACGCCCTGGAGGAGTGCCCAAATGAGGACAGAGCCCCACCCCCCAGGGCAAACCAGGACAGCCCCTTTTTCCTCGTCCATCCCCTTCCCCAACACCACGAGTCTCCCTTCACACACCGGTAGCTGTGGTGCCCTCTGTAGCCAGAAGGTTTCAGGCTGCTCCTGACGGTAGTCGTGGGGCTGTGAGGGAGACACTGAGTAGTCACTCTTAGCCCACCATCCCCCCTCTCAACTGCCGGGCCGGTCTGAGCCCAGCTGGGCACGGGTGGCAGGCAGCACGGGCTCTCACCTTGGTAGGGGCAGGAGGCCCTGCTGGCAGCAGCTCCGTCCGGTAGTCATGGTGTGTCACAGACTCGGCTTCAGAGAGCATCCTGGTGGGTTCCTGTTGCGCCTGCACCTCTTTACTACCCACCCCTGCAGAGTGTCAAGGCCACCTTCTCCCAGTGTGGGTCCTCTCCTCCCCTTCTGATCTCCCCTCTGCCTCTTACCAGATCTGCTGGTGCAGGGCCACCTGCAGCAGGGCTTCCCTCTTCCCTGTGAAAGGGCAGGGGTGGGGTGGGGTAGATAGAATAGGAAGTCTGCATGTGGAGTAGGCTCAGTAGAAACGAGTTTGAGATAAGGAATGAAAATCCTATGGGTTAGTTCCCCCACCCACCTTCTTTCCTATATCCATTGCACCAGCCATGATGCCACTGAAAATCCTTGCCTCTCCTTTTTTTTTTCCCTAATGGATTCATTCTGGCTGTCCCTCAGGCTTCCCACCTCGAAGTGGCTGATGCGGCTTTGCTGGGAGCTGGTAGGAGTCTTTCTGGGTGGTGCTGGAAGGCATAGGTGACTGTAGCTTCAGGGTCAACAGTCCCCGGTGTCCATGTCGGAAGAAGAAACTCTCAGAGCCATCCAGAACGTTTGGGACTTGATCCAGGTAGTTGGTGGCTCTCTGCGGGTCCCAAGTTGAGTGGCCATGATGTCCCTATGGGTATGAGCCACTCCCACCCACACCCCTGAGTAAACCGAGGGTAGCCTTTAAGAAAAAAGGAGCAGGCCCAAACCTTAATACCTCTTCCTCCCAGTTGTAGAGGAGACAATGGCCCCGTAACAATGCTTCAGAGAGCCTATTAGATTTCTCTTCAACCTTTGGGGACAACCCTTGGGCACAAGGTTCTGAGACTGGCAAAAACTCCCAAGGTGGCTGCTTGGGAGGCTCCAGGAACTCCTGCTGATTCCAGGAGTTGTAATTAGAGACCAGATTTGCCTTAAGGTTCCCAAGCTTAGGGCTGGGGCCAGGGCCAGGGCCAGTGACAGTGCTAGTGCCAGTGCCCGCACCAGCACCAGGATAAAGACCAGGACCGGGATCAGGGCCAGGCTTAGAACCAGAGTCAGGGCCAGATCCAGCGCCAGAGCCTTCCTGGCCAGAGACCCGCTTAGGGCTAGAACTAGACTCCGGAATAGGTCCAGAGCCAGAGTCATGAAAAAGGCAGGAGCGAGAGCTGTCAGTTGTAGTACGGGGGTCCCGCCCAACACAAGAAATATAGGTGGGCTCAAAGCCCAGGTTCTCATGGCTTATCTTATGGGTAAAACCAGATCCAGCACAGGGGCCCCCAAGGAGATTGGGGTCAGAGGAGGGGACCGTGAGAACAGACTCGGAGCAGGGGCCCTTTGCAGATAATGCAATTGCTTTGGCAGTGGAAGCAGCTACAGCGGCTGCAGCAGCGGATGCAGCGGATGCAGCGGAAACAGCTGCTGCGCTTGCGGCTGCCAGGGCAGAACTAGCGTAGCCTTCTGAAGTGGACCCTAGTCCTTCGGAGCTGGGCTGGACTTCTAAAGACCTGAAAGAGAGCAAGCCGCCAGGGTTGTCAAAAGCACAGCCGAGGAAATCAGCTTCTCTGACCCCGGCAGCCCCAGCGGCCCTTCTCACCGCAAGTCTGATTCCTCCGTACCCTCTTGACTCGCCATCTTCGGACGACAGCTACCGGGTTGCCGTGGATACGGCAAAACTTCCCCAGAGAAGGCGCAGAACCGGAAGTGAGCGGGCGTGTGGGCGGAGCAAGTCGTCTGCGGGGCGGAAGTCTTCCACCTGATCCGTTCGGGTTGTCCGTCCGCTTGCCTCGCCGACTCCGTTCCGCCGCAGACCCGCGTTTGGGGTTCCGCTGGCCCACGGCCCGCCTTCTCTGCGGACTCAGTCCCGGCACGGTGCAATGGAGGCTCGGGGTGCTTCAGGAGCAGATGAGGACAAGCAGGAAGCGGTGGCCTCAAAGGCAAAAGCCTATTCGGTGTGTTTGCGGAGGGGGAACAGTAGCTTCCCCTTAGCTCACTCTCAAAACTGTGTGTGCGTTTTAAACAACGTGTGGCTAATATACATGTGGTGATCAGTTAGAGTGGGGGGAAAGAGTTAAACTATTTTGAGGTACGAAAGAGATACGGGTCTCAAATATAATTTGACGAGAACAGTGAGTTTTAAAGCCTCTCCATCCTTGGTTAATGAGCAGAAAGAATTCCCTGGAGGCTTCGGCTATCCAGGGACTGTGATCATGGGTTTTTGGGCTCTGTGTCATCCTTAGCCCTCTGCAAAAGGGTACTCAGAATTTAGGCTCTAGCACACATCTAAGAGGGCTTCATAAAGTTCATGGAACTACTGAATCGAAAATGAAAAATTTTCACATTTTTGAAGTCCCCTTGTATGGTAGGGTTCTTTGTGACTATTTCTCCAGTACCGTGAGTCAGATTCGACTCTATGCCGAATGAGTGAGTCTCCTCTGATAAAAGGTACAGGATCTTCACATTGACAACCCTCCTTCCACCCCCACCCCAAAATGGCTTTTGAATAAGGGCTGGAGCTGGGCAAGCCTCGTACCTGGGATTCCGTTGTGTCCTACTCATTTCTACTACTTTTCTAGAAGCCTGGCTCTGAAGAGTGCTTCTAGTCATGAGGACTTACAGATCTATAGGTAGCTACCCCTTTATTCACAAGATGGGCCTCCTCAGTGTTTCTCATTCAGACCACAGTCAAGGGGGATCATACCTCTGGATCTAAACCCCACCCCCACCCCCCACTATGGTATATATCTTTATATACTGAAGACACGGCTCCAAAGTTATAGAGAGGTTTATTGACAACCCAGGGTCCTTTCCCCATTCCTCCCCATCCAAGAATCCAGCTAGGAGTCGTCCATCAGTTCATTGGATGGTTCAGCCTGGAGGCCATAGGAGCTGTCGACCGCCAAGTACGTGGATGTGCAGGTGATACACAGATTGTGCGCCCAGCTTCCCATCATTGATCACTGAAACAGAGGCTGGGGTTAGCATGTCAAACACCGAAGGTCCTAGTAAGGCGTAACCCAAACCCACAGCAAATCCACAGGACAGAGCAGAACTGCTCCTGCAGGTTTCTGAGACTATCAATCTTTATGGGCGCAGACGGCTTCATTTTCCTTCTGAGGAGTGGCTGGTGGGTTGGACCCACTGACCACAGCGCCACCAGGGCACCTTATATCAAGGAGGAGGTATGAGAATTCACAGGGGAGGGGCTCTTGGGCCAAGAGTTACTCACCAAGTCGGTACCCCTCTGCCAGACCCTCAGCCTTTGCTACCTTCTTGGCCACAAGGAGGAGGTGACCTAGAAGCTACAGGAAGAAGAAAGGGGGCCCAATATAATCATTCACATGGAGAAAAACCTTTAGCTGGTCCAAGGCTCCTCCAGTGAAACCCTGGCCTTATTCTTCCCACCTGCTGATCCTCCTCTTCAGCCTGGCTGATCCGAGGAATGGGCTTCTTTGGAATGACCAGGAAGTGCACAGGTGCCTGAGGGGCCACATCACGGAAGACAAGACACTAGGAGTCGGAGGAAAGGCATGGTATAAGCGGTGCCAGGCCAGAAGTCACCAGTTAACTGCAATAGGCAGGGCTGTATCTTTGAGGAGTTACCTATGACGTTCCTGGGAGTGGGGTTGGGGAGGGGATGGGTCCTCAGGGTAGCCCACCTGATGGTCCTCAAATAGGATGTCAGCCGGGAGGCTGCGGTCCAGGATCCGGGAGAAGATGGTTGGGGCGGCTCCCCCAGGAGCTGCCTGCTGGGCCCTGGTCACTTCATTTTCATTAGTCCCGCCCGAAGCTCCTCGGACCTGACGGTGGGTCAGACACAGCCAAAGAGGGAGTTGGCAATACCTTTCCCATGGACCCAGGGCCGGCAGAAGTGAGCTCTGACAGCCACTAAGTTCACAGATAAGTGAATAGTTGAGGGATTCTCACCCAAGGGGAAAGTTCCTGAATTTCTGAGCATCAGCAGTAGGGGGGAGGGCAGATGGTGGTAAGCCTGGTTAGGGAGTGGGCATTACAAGGAAGGATTCAGCAGAGCAAATGTTTCCTTCTCCTGTTAGGGAATTCTAGCACTGCTGGGCTGAGCAGCAGGGAGGGGAGTCATGATGAGATTTTACAGCAGCGGTTCTCAACCTGTGGGTCGCGACCCCTGTGGGGGTCAAACGCCCCTTTCACAGGGGTCACCCCATTCATAACAGCAAAATGAGTTATGAAGTAGGAACAAAAATCATTTTATGGTTGGGGGGTCACCACAACATGAGGAACTGTATGAAAGGGTTGTGACATGAGGAAGGTTGAGAACCACTGTCCTAGAGGTACCACCCACGGTAGGGTGACACTTAGATGAGGGATCAACGCGTGGCAAATGGCAGTTTGCTCAAAATCTGAATAGAATAGGCGAGCGGGCTTAAGGATCCGAAAACACTAAGTGGAAATATGTCAGTGGAACTGTCACCAAATGAGAGAAACCGGGCAGAGTCCCAGGTGGTCTTGAGAGGTGCTGGCAAGCTGTCCTTTGAAGAGAAGAGGTGGGGGGGAGTGTCCCTTGAATCCGTGGGTAGGTGCAGACCAACTAAGTGAACTGTCCGCCGAGGTCCTGGGACAGGAAATTCCAGCTGCCCAGCAATCCCAGAGACTCAATCCATGGAATCACTTGGGCGAAAGACGGCCGCGTACTGGGTCCACTGGACTTCTCAGCTCTGGTGGCGTCGTGGTTACACAGAGGGCTGCGAACTGCAAGTCAGCAGTTCAAAACCACCAGCCACTTCACGGGCGAGACCACGGGCTTTCTACTCCCGGTAGAGTTACAGTCTCGGGTGGGGGGCGGTTCTGTCACGCCTTGCAGGGTCGCTGTGAGGTGGCATCGACTCCATGGCCATGCGTTTGCTTTCTGGTTTTGAGGCTCTCAACTCGCTCAGGCAAGTGGCCGGGGAGGATCCAGGGTTAAGACCGGGCGTGAAAGGCACGGAGGGCTGGCTCCGAGAAGGGGAGGCGCACTTCCCGCAGGGGCACCCCGTCCCTGGGCTCGAGCCCCGAGATGGCCGCGGTCCCCGCGCAGACCCGGCCCGGATCTTAGTGCCCGGCCCGGTCGGTGCAGGCGTCGGGCGGCGCGCTAGGGTTCTGGTCTCCCGAGGCCGCGGAGCAGCGCACGCCTGCGGGCGGGGCCCGAGCCCGCGCCCCCACCCCCCCGCGCCTTCTCACCTGCGCGCCCCGCAGCCCCTCGGCCGCCACTGCCCGGAGCGCCGCGCGCAGCCTCGCGGCCAGCACCAGGGTGGCCGCCATCTTCCCCGGCCTCCGCGAGGACCGACACCCCGGCGGGCGCTCGAGGCCTTTGGAGGTGGGGCTCCCCGCCGGCGGCGGCAGGGGGCGGGGCGCCGCCATTGGCTCCGCCCGCGGCCGGGCGCAGCGGGCCATCCCATTGGCCACCAGGCTCCGCCCCGGAGGTGGCCCTGTTCACCCATTGGCTCCGCCACTTTGGAGGCGGCGTTTTCGTACCCAGGACGGCTCGCGCCGGCCCGAGGGTGGTGGTAGCGCTCTGGTGAAAGGTCTCTGCCCCTCGGCTCCCGGACTGGTGTCGCTGTGCGAGGGCGCTTCTTCCATGGGAAGGACTAAGACGCAGGGTCTGGGCCCGGAGCCCTAACGCTGGCCCTCTAGATGGGGGCTCTTATCCTCCATCCACGTGATTGCCTCACAAACAGCTGCGGGCCCCGCCGGTGAGCGGGCGGGGCGGGGGCGGCGCTCCTCCGTCCCCTGCTGCCCGGCTCGAAGGTGCTGTATTCTTTCCCCGAGTTGGCCCAGAGGAGGCTGGGGCTCTGAGCTAACTAGGCACGTTTTGATGCCAGGACACCCAACACCCACATTCCCCGCTGCGCCCTGGGGGCAGAGACCCTGGGAGTCCCGGGGGCGGGTGGGGGGCAGGATGGCCCCAGGTGAACTGGGAGGAAGGTGGGTTTGAGGGGAGTCTTGTCTAAATATTGTACATGGGGCCGTTTGAGCTTCGAGGACTTTAACTTCCTGGTCAAAGTGCAGGGTCCCTGCGGGAGCAGTGGGTGAAGGACTTGGCTGCTGACCCGAAGGTGGGAGGTTGTACCTGCCAGCTGCAGTGGGTGAAGGACTTGGCTGCTGACCCGAAGGTGGGAGGTTGTACCTGCCAGCTGCTAGCTGCTCGAAAACTAGAGTGACAGGCCATGGACGCCCTCTGGGCTGGTCGACACTTTGCTAACAGACGGAGGGCAGTTCTGTCTCATATTCTTGTTAGCCCATTGGGCTTGTTTTAGGGCGGTTTTTGCATGCTTAATAATTGCTGTATGTAGGGGAGACTGGGGGAGGAGGTGTTGTTCTATTTTTGCCTTACTACCAATTAAGCAGAGGAGTGTGTTGAATGTTCTTTACAACTGGGGAAAGCAGGGAAATAGTGCAGGGGCTGGCATGTTCAGTGAAATGCATCATGGACATAGGTCAGCAGCATATTTCGTGCTGCCAGAATATGTATTTTTGACAAGAGAAAAGGGGCCACGGAATGCTAATATACTCATACAACAGTTTAACACTGGCATTAAGCACACAGGACAGGTCACTACCACTGTATCTGTAGTGGCCCTTCCCATAGAGGTGCACAATCATTATTGGTTGCATGAATAATTAACATTTGATATTTCCCCTTAATGATATACATCTATGTTTATTCTCCACATATAGTCAGTTTCCCATATTATTACTTTAAAAACCCACCACTGCCATGGGATCGATTCTAACTCCTATTCAAGGTTTCCAAGGCTTTCCAAGTCATTACGGGAGCCAACAGTTTCATCTTTTTCCTGCACAGTGGCTGGTGGGTTTGAACCACTGACCTTGTGATCAGCAGCCCAGTGCTTACTGGACAGCATTGCTTCAGCTCCATATTATTTCTTTGTGTGAATATAGGAGCTCTGGTGGCACTGTCAGGTTGAGCTGCTAGCTGCAAGTTCAGTGGTTCAAACCCGCCAGCCACTTTGCAGGAGAAAGATGAGGCTCTCTGCTCCCGCAAAGATTTACAGCCTCAGAAACCACATAGAAGGTCTCCAATGAGTTGGAATAGGCTCTATGGCAGTAGGTTTATGTAAATAGACTTTATAGTGGCTGTATAATATTTCCTTGAATGAGTACCTCATTGTAATTGTTATGTATTAAGTTGTGTCCTCCAAAATGTGTCAACTTGGCAAGGTCATGAGTCTGATGTAATTAACCTCCATTGTGTGATCCCATGGGTTGTAAATCCTTACCTCCATGATGTTAATGAGGCAGGAGTAAAGGCAGTTATGTTAATAGGCAGGTCACAATTGATATGATTGGGCTGTGTGTTGAGCCAACCCTTTTTGAGAAATGAGAGATTAAACACAGCAGAGATGGGAGGGACTTCAGCACCACCAAGAAGGACGAGCCAGCCAAGGAGTGGGTCTCCGCGCTGAGACGTTTTTTTTTTAGAACTAGGAGAAGGTTGATGCCCAAACACTTGGAGACCACCAAGGGATGCCAGGTCCGCGGATGTTCAAGGAGACAAGACCTTCTCCCAGCGCCCAAGGAGAGAAAGCTGGTGGCCTGAATATAGACCTTTGTCTCCTAAACTGTGAGAGAGTACATTTCTGTTAAAAAGCCCCCTTGCTCGTGATACCTCTGTGGTAGCGGCACTAAATACCTCTCTATTACCGGCCTTGAAAGCGAATGCAGCACTCGCTACCTATAACCAACGATTCGCTCTGTACTGCAGGAGATGGAGTTCTTTCTGTTATTAGGAGCTCTGGTGGCATACTGGTTACGAGCTGGGCTGCAACCTGAAACCACTAGTCTGCTCCTCAGGAGAGAGACAGGGCTTTCTACTCCTGGAAAGAGTTACAGCCCGGAAAACCACAGGAGCCGTTTTACCCTATCCTATAGGGCCACGGCGAGTCAGTGAGTTTGAGTTTTATATTTGAGCTTTGTGCTGTTGGAAAGTTATTTTTCCCTGAAGAGCAGACATTTGACCCCGCGATTCCCTTCAGGGGTCCTCGCGGTCCAGACTGTGGTCATTCTTGTGGAGGGCCTCGCTAAGTGTAAGGAAATGTGTCCCAGACACCAAAGTTTTGTGTGTCCTCTCTGGGACAGCAGGATCCTCTAGAGCCGGTGTGGAGAAGGGCAGAAGATAGAAGGGGCTGAGGTCTAGGGAGGAGGAGGGCCCCGTCCAGAAGGAGGAGGTGAGTAGAGTGCCCTCTAAAACTGGTCATTTCGGTGGGTTCTCCTAGAGGGCGGGAAGCCCAGAGAGGATTCTCCCTGTTTTATAGATTTGAAAACGGAGGCTGAGAGGTGCAGTGACTGGCTTAGGGCCTCAGAGCCCATTCGGACCAGAATATCATCCTCCCCCTGAGCCCTCAGTGGATTTCCTAGGCGCTCCCCTGTATTTGCTGACTGTGGGGCCCTGGGCCGGTCTTTCCTGTGCTAGGCCTTTCTCATGCTGAAGGGTCCATGCCCTACAGAGGTCTCCTCCCGCCTCTCCCCCCACCCAGCCCCACTGGACGGCATACTCTTGATGGCCCCTGCTGTCAACCTGTCAGGAAGTCCCCAGCTTCCTCTCGCTCCCTGCCTGCACGGCCAGCATGCTGCCTGATGCTCCTCCACTCGCCCACCACCACCCTTAATCTAAACATTTTGCCTTTCTGCGCCCTCTGTCCCCCATTCCCTAAACCCTCACCTCTTTCTTTTCTGGCCTTCTAGTCCTGGTTCCTGCCCCCTCGCTTCCCCCTCCCACCCTGCCCCCAGCAGTTGACCTTGTTTTCTGCTTCTGAGGGATGTGAACGCCATTACAAGGAGCTTCTGCAGCGTCCTGCTCCCCGAAGCCTCCAGCCTCTCTTCCTCTGGGTCTTAGGAAGCAGTTTTTCCTGTCCTTCAGCCATGCTTGACTTCATCCTCTCCCTCCTTCTCGGAGATCTTATTTTATCAGACATCTCCCCTCCCTCTGTCGCATCCTTCTGGCTCTTTCTCAGGCTATAAAGTCCTTAAAAAGAAAATCCCACACCTCCCTTCAGATATCGTCTGATTTCCCCTCTAAGCTTCTTGAAGACATACCTCCAGATTCGCTGCTGTGTATGTACTCTCTGACTGGAGCGATGGCCTCTGAAGTCCTCAAAGACCTTCTAAGTGCAAAATGTCATGAGTCCTTTTCCGTCGTCGTCATTGTTCCGGATCCCTCGGCCACATCGGACATCACTGACATCTGGAAACTCCCTTGGCCTCCCTGAAACCACTCTCCCTTGAGGTCAGCAGCCCGACTGTGCTGCCGATGGAGGCTCATGGCTGGGTCCAGCCTCCCTCCCACTGTCCCAGGAGGCACTGATCCCAAGAGCCCAGGGTCTTGGCCTGCCCCAGACAGAGGCGGGTGAGATTCCAGTGGCTTCCCGTTTATTGACCTGAACCAGGCTCACAATGGCCTGCTCCAGGGAGTGACAATACAAAAGGGTCAGGTATGAGTGTCGGATCTTGGGGGGCGCTGAGGGTTATTTGGGCCAGGAAGTCCAGGGGGCGCAGATTGGGAGCTGGGGAGGCCAGAGGGCCCCTGCGACTCCTGGGCTGTGAGGTCAGAGCTGTGTTGGATGACTTCCTGAAGAGCAGGCATCTCTGCAAAGGGCAAGTAGTCTGCGCCTGTTGGTGGGAACCAGTGCAGATATGGGATGTGGAGGAAATGGGGGGCAGGGTGGGGTGGGGTGTGAGGTCGTGCTGGGGAGACGGTTGAGGGTGACAGTGCTTTATGGAGTGGCTTTCTGACTATAGGTTCTGGAATGGTTGCCCACCCCAGGCTGCCCCTCACCGTGAGGCCTGCCTCCTCGTCGCCGTGCCTCCCCAGTCTCAAAGAAAGTCTCGTGTTCTTCCCAGCGCCGGTCACAGGCCGCGCAGAGGAAATTTGACTCAAAGAACCTGCAGTAACAGCCTGGGACAAGAAGAATAGCAGCCAGGGATAACTGGGGTGAGCACATTCTCGCCCTCCCTACCAGTCCAAAGCCCCCCTACCAGCTTCCCACCCTGGAACCATTTGCATCCCTGTCCCTCCTGGTGGGTGCCCTGCAAGGTACCTTGGTGCCTGCAGGGATGTGACCCAGTGGCGAGATGATCTTCATGGCTGTGTTTGCAGCGACATTGGGCTCTCCAGGCCTTGGGGTTGAAGGTGGCCCGTCTAGTGAGCCAGAACTCGCCCACTTCCTCTGGGCGTGATGGGATGAAACAGAACATGAGGCAGCGGCACTGGCTCACCCCGCAGGGCACGGATATGCCTGTGGCGATGGAGATGGGGAGTAGGGTTGAACCAGCACCTGATAGGGGCCTGGCCGTCTAACCTTTATATGCCAACTCTGTCCCTCAGACCAACACGTGTCCCCTTTCTTCCGCATATATCCCACGGTATGACAGAGTACCGTTATCCCTCCCTACTCCCCAAGGCTGGCCAGTTCTCCTCTACCTGAGATGATCCTGTGCTCCTTCAGCAAGTGGCCACAGAAACACCGGGACTCATCCCCAATCCGGAAACAGTCCCATAAGTAATGTGGACAGCGCCAGCCAATGTAGAGACCTGCGTGTGGGGAGATTGAGCGATAAGGGAATATGAGATGGAACCAAGGACACTGAGCTTTCCCTCAAAGTGTTCTTACCTCTCCCCTTGGGAGTGTGTGGGGGCTCACCTCTCCCCCCAGGTGTGCTCATCTCCACCCCGGGGTCCTCACCTCTACCCCTTAGACTTTTCCTCAAGGTTTGCTCATCGCCCCACAGTGTCTTCTGTCCCCTTCCCACCCCTGTCAGAGGCTGAAGCAAGTCTTCAGTTTCACAGCTGGAAGATTATAAATGAAATTTTATGTGAAGATCAACATGACTCTCAGTCGCATCGTCTCTGACTGCGGAGGGCTCCTCTCCACCCTTCCCCACGTCAGAACCCCCACGTGCTTGGTTTCCTCGGCGTGTCTAAGGTGAGGGGGAGCAGTGGTGGGTGGCGGGGTGCAGAGGTGGTGGTAGGGGTTGGCTCCGAAGGGACTTGGAAAGGAGGAGAACCTTGGGCTGGCCTTGGGGCAGGAGCAGGGCTCCCCTTCACTGTGCCAGCTGGCTTCCTTCAGACTTCCTGTGTGTGTGATGGCTGGCGCTGCAATGGGCCCTCTGTGAGCCTGGGAAGGCTGCGTATGAAGCCCCACAAGCCAGGAGAAGGGAAGAGGCAGGCCGGTGCCACGGAGAGTGCACAACGTAAGTCCAAGCTCGTGAGGCCAAGAAAGGCAGCATGGAGAAGAGCAAGGCCAAGAAGCAGTCATGAGCCGGACCATGGGAACCTCAACCTTGACCACCTGAGGCCAGAAGACCCAGATGGGGCCTGGCCGCACAATAGAGGGTTCTGGATGGAGTGGGCGAAAAATGTGGAATAAGATTCAAAATCATAAAAAGGGACCAGGTTTACCAGTTGGGTAGAGCTGGGTAGAACCCCTCAGACTGCGGTCCCTCGGCACCCTTCAGGCCTAGAAGTTCACACACACACCACACACACACACACACACACACACACACACACACACGCATGGCGCCATTTTCAGCCAAACAATACAGAGGTCTATGTGGCGAGCAGTAAGACACTCCTCAGAATTAGCAACCATTTGAGATCAAAAGAGTAGCCTTTGGCCAAGGGCAAAATCCTGAAGGCAAGAAAGGGATAGGAATGGAGGAGGGATGGAGACCGGCAGTGAGATAGGGATGCGACAATAAAAAACGGCATGAAGCAAAATGTGTATAAATTATTGAATGGAAAACTGACCTGCTCCTTTCCCCAGTTCATAATGGAATGTCAAAGACAAAACCAAAAACATCACCTGAGAACAGGTACCAACCAGCGACCCCAATCCTCGGGAGCGCGTCAGCAGTGGGAGCTGCACCACCTGGCACCATGGCCACTCACACCACAAGTAAGTGTTGGGGACCCATCTTCTAAGCTTCCAGGAGAGCTGAGAGTACCCCAGCTTCTAGCCCAATGGAACGATGCCTCTAGCTACAGTTTATAGGACTTTAATTGCCACTTAAAAGCTCAAGCAAAATGTCACCTTCACCATACTGACTTCTCTTGTGTGGGATTCTGTTATCCCTCTGACAGTGCAGTGTAGCACAAGGGTCTGTAAGTGTCTCAAAGGTCCCTTTATCCCTAAGAGCCATGCTGATGTAGTGGGTTACGATTGGGCTACTACCTGCAAAGTCAGCAGTTCAAAACCACCAGTCGCTTCACAGGAGCTGAGGAGAAGCTGAGGTTTCTCTTCCAGTAAAGATTTACAGCCTCAGAAACCCATGGGGGCCACTAGAAGTTGGGATCAATTGGATGGCAGTAATTCTTTTTGGACCTAGCATAGGGCCTACAACGAAATACCAGCTCAGAGAACACAGACTGGCTGACTGAGCTGGCGACTGAGCAGAAAGGATTTCTTTAGGAAGGAAGAGCGGCCCAGGATTCTAGGACTCTTTGGAGGCATAATCTTAAAGTTCCATTAAGGAAGTTGTAAGAGTTAGTGTCTGGTCTTTGACCCTAGCCAGGAGCACCACCGACCATTCTGCACCTAAATGGCCTGCTAGGTTTTATTGTCTTACCCATAGTCCTTCAGGATCTAAAACCTGACCAGGCGTGGCTTTTGATTGTGCACTTTGTCTTGATCCTGCTGCTAGCCTGTACTGTCAGCCCCCTAACCACACCATGGAGACTTGGTTAGGAGAGCAGGGTATAGTAGAGTCACAATGGAAGTGGGTGGGGGCCAAGGTTCTACTAGCTCAGTGCTTCTCAACCTTCCTAATGCTGCGACCCTTTCATACAGTTTCTCATGTTGTGGTGACCCCCCACAAACATAAAATTATTTTTGTTGCTACTTCATAACTCATTTTGCTACTGTTATGAATCGGGTGACCCCCAAAGGGGTCGCAACCCACAGGTTGAGAACCACTGTACTAGAGGGATTCTCAACTCTGTCCAGAGCAATAGGGCATACTGGCTTAGCAGCTGCGACTCAGAGGTGATCAAGAGCGTGTCCATACCTCAAAGCTGGGTCACAGGGTCTGGGGGAGTGTCAAGTTCAAGCATTGGACTTAGAGTGTCAAACTCCAAGACCAGAGTTTGAATAAAGAGAGTGGCCACTACTCCTATTAAAAGTGGCAGTGTCCTCCAAATGGAACCATTGACATCTGCCCACTGATTCCTGAGTAGTGCCCTCAGTTCTCTTGTCTTGATTTCAAATCCCCTTTCTGTTACGGGTAGGCCAGGGCTGGCAGGGGAAGTAACTTATCTAGGATACCATTTTGACTTTGTGAAACACATTCCATATGATGATTGAAATGATCATATTTGTATATAACATCCCTTTGCTCTTAGAATGTCTCCATATACTATATGATGTGTCCAGTCCAGCCCTCTCTCTCGAACTTTATACCCAGATAGTCAACTGTCCGTCCACTAGACTCGTCTACCAGCATGTTCCACGAGCACTTCAAAGGTTTTATTACTTCAAACCTGCCCTTGTCCTTTGTCTTCCATTTATCTAACAAACACTTATCAAGCATCTACTCTGTTTCAGGCATTCAATTAGTGGCACCACCATCCAAGTCGTTACTAAAGCCCCAAACCTAGCTATCAGTCTAAGCATTCCCTCTCTCTCATTTGATACAGTACCTTCATAGCACTTCTCAATCTACTTCTCTCTACCTCCCCCCTTCACTTCTTACTGGGATCATTACCAGGACCTCACAATTCCCACAGTCTTCCCGTCTCTGGTCTTGTCTTTCTCTGGTCTACCAGAGTTACTGCCAGAGTGACCTTTCAGAAGCATAAGTGTGTTCATGGTATTGTCCTACTTAAAGCGACTCCCAGTGACCCTCAGAGTATAGTCCCACACAAGCCTGCCCTTCCAGAGCCGAACTGCACCTACCCCAGCACTCTGTGCTTGCTTTGTCATCTCTCACCCTACCCTACTTTTCACCTGGTTGCCTCTTGCGTATATATTTCACAAATTTCAGCTGGAAGGCACCTCTTTCAAGATTGACTCCCCAAGCCCTCAAGGCTGGGTGCCCCCTTTTCTCTGCTTGGGCAGCTTTCTGGCTGGCCTCTAGCAACAGTTCTTAAATTGTAGTTGTCCCTTCATTATTACTATTATGGAAGGTACATTAGTTGAGGGATTTTTGTTTTTCAACCTCACTGTCTTCTGACTTCCACCACTTCCACAGCTAGCTTTATCCTCAGCACATAGTTTGAGCTCAATAAATGTTTGTTGAAGGAATTGAAAGTAAATGTGTAAACTTAATGTTCATGCTTGATATCTCTCTACACATCCCATAAATTATTATGATAGACTGCTGACTCTCCAGGGATTCAAGGTTTACAATATTAGAAGGGAGTTCCAAATATCTTTGTTTATGATTGAACAACGTTTGAATTGCTGTTGAAAACTGCCTGTTTAAACAGGCAACTGAGAAGGCCATTCAGCAGAGGAAGGACTGCAGTGGCCTTTGACGTTCTGAGAATGAGAGAACTGAGTAGCCCCTGTGTCTGTAAGAAGGACAAGAGCAGCAGAAGATGCTAAAATAAAGCACACCAACCCGTGTGACCACGAGGTGCTGATGGGATCAGGGATCAGGCATCAGAAGACCCAAAACAACCATTTCAATGCGAATGAGGGGGGTCAGAATGGAGACCCAAAGCCCATCTGTAGACAGTTGGACATCCCCTCACAAAAAGGGCCACAAAGAAGGGACGAGCCAGCCAGAGTGCAGTATAGAACTTGACAAAACACAACATTCCTCTAGTTCTTTAATGCTTCCTCCCCCCACTATCATGATCCCAGTTCTACCTTACAAATCCGTCTAGACCAGAGCATGTACACTGGTACAGATAAGAGCTCTCAACACACAGAATCCAGGACAGATAAACCCCTCAGGACCAATAATGAGAGTAGTGATACCACGAGGGGGAAGGTGGGGGAGAAAGGGGAAATCAATTGCAATGAGCTACAAGATCCAGCTTCCTCTGTGATGAGGAGACCGGAACTTTTTGGGTACCCGGGACCGTGGACTTGGCACGCACGAATGAGGTCCAGCAAGGGTGCCAAGGGTTTTTGCCCTGTGAGAGCAGTAAGTCTCCTGGAAACTATGCAGGTTGCAGGGCCATCTCTACCTAAGAGTCTTTTGTGCAGGCTATCAGGGCCCTAGAGCTAGAGCAGGCCCATGCCCTTTTAATAATTTTGAGTTAAATATCTGTCTCTACCGAGCTTTATATAAATATCCCTATATTTCACTGGCATCCACCCTGGCATTCTGCGTTGGTGACACTGTTGTTGCAAGATGGCCACAGGCCTGTCACAAAACTAGCTGGACTCACCTGTCTGGATGGCACTCAGGGCTGCCTGCTTCTCCCAATGGAAAAGGTGATTCACCTGAGCACCAAACTGATCTCTGTGCATTGCCTTAGCCACTTCCACCAGCTCGGCCTGCCTAGCAGGGACTACTGGGCGGACTGTGTATCCTGGGGAGGGGAGGGACTGAGTAATCATGGGGCACCCAGTTTCAGGCCTTCCAGCTAAGCGGAGGGGCCATGTTAAAGAACAGCCCTCCTTCCAGGGCAAGAAAAGGGTGATGATGCCAGGGGGGGGTGGGGAGTGGGGTGGGAAGGACAGGAGCAATTACGGCTAGCTGGTTTCTTCCCCTTCTTCTTTCCCAGCTGGCATCCAGGCTGAGCAGTGGGCGCAGTGCTGTCGCTGACAGCCGCCCCTTCTTTGCCCTTTTCAGCCTCTTCCTTCTGCCCTGCTGTGGAGTCCTTGTGCACCTGGGCTGAGCGGCCTGAAAGGGAGGGCTTCGGAAGGATCTTAATGTCAGGCGCCTCCAGGGTGGGCATCTTGGTCTGTGGAGCCTCACTGGAGGAAGGCTCAATGTGGAGGACTTCCTTCCGAGCATCATCTTTAGAGGAAGATGCAGAGGGCTGAAAAACAAGGTCCTTAGAGGTGTGAGAGCCCACTGAGGCTCCCGATAGGGAGGTCTTTGAGGGGGTCCTAGAGGAGTCTTGCTTTAACGGGATTTTAGCGGGGTAGATCGCTAAAAGGCTCTCAGAGGTGTTGATCTCCAGTGGGGTCTGTGAAGTGGTGACCTCCAACAGAGACCCAGAGGCACTGTGCTCTAAAGGAGTCTCAGAGGTGTGGGTCCCTAAAGGGCTATTGGAACCGGATGGCTCCAGAGGGGACATGGAGCTATGAGGCTCTAGAGGGGTCTCAGAGATGGAAGGCTCCACGGGAACTTCAGGGGACATGGAGCTATGAGGCTCTAGAGGGGTCTCAGAGATGGAAGGCTCCACGGGAACTTCAGGGGACATGGAGCTATGAGGCTCTAGAGGGGTCTCAGAGATGGAAGGCTCCACGGGAACTTCAGGGGACATGGAGCTATGAGGCTCTAGAGGGGTCTCAGAGATGGAAGGCTCCACGGGAACTTCAGGGGACATGGAGCTATGAGGCTCTAGAGGGGTCTCAGAGATGGAAGGCTCCACGGGAACTTCAGGGGACATGGAGCTATGAGGCTCTAGAGGGGTCTCAGAGATGGAAGGCTCCACGGGAACTTCATAGGGCTGGGGCTCCTGAAAGTCTTCAGCAGCGGGGTCCTTTGGAGAGGGGTGCTCTTCTGCATCGCTGCCAGTATGAGGCTCCTCTGTAACCTTGCCCGCTTCCATCTAGTGGTAGAATAGGGTACAGACTTTATTAGGGTAGAACTGGAGGGCCTGCAACAATCCCGGGCACTCAGAGGGTTGTGGAATGAGGATACAGTGCTTAGTGCACCTGAGATACCAGAAGGAAGCAAGAGGAGCTCGAGTTCAGAGTATGATGTCAGGTGGGCCACTCATGTGTCAGGGTACATGTGATCTGCTGCTGTGGCTTTTAACAGCTCTGATACTTAAAGACGGAATGGTGGAGGCAGTCAGACTCCCATCAGTAGACGGTAGGAACAGGAGGGAGTCTGATGTAGCCAGTCCATAGCTCAGAAGTTTGGCGGTCAGCCTGCAGCTCTCCAAGGACTGAGAATACCAAGTCAAACTGGGCAAAAGTGGCATGGGTGTTGGCTTCAGAGAGTATGGGAGGAAGCCATGATGCACCAGGCAGGGCCCTACTACCCACAGTCTGGTTTTGTCTGGGCACCACACAACACCCTCCTCTCATGTTGTCATTCATGGTCAAGCCTTCAACTGCTTCCAGCAATGTGCGGAGGACTCCTCCATCACATTTCCAGCCAGACCTCTTTAGACCCCTCTACTTTAGGCTTCTCTCCTGCTGCCTACTGGACATATCTAACTGGACGTCCCCGAGGGCATCACAACGGAACTCTGGGAAGTATGCTAGTAGTCTCCTTTTGTTCTGGAACCTTCGTTTTCAAATAGGCACCCAGAACTGTAGGACCACTCTTCCGAGTATTCGCACAAATCATCTGTACCCGCTCTTGTTTCAAATTCTGTCCACGTCCTCCTAATGTTCTGTCTGGATGGTGAAATACTGCCCGCCCTAGCACATAATCTTTTCGTCCATTCCTTTATGTGAGTTGCGGTTTTGCTCAGGCTGGTACTACATGCTGACCTCAGTTGAAAGTGTGGCAGAAAGACACATTAACCAATATTGCCAATGTGAATGGGTTAGTATGTTGGGGTAAATTCAGGATGCTGGAGGGCAGTCATCCTTACGAACTCAACTAAGAACTTAACAAACAAACAAACACGGGCATTTCTTTTATTTAAGAACATTCAGTGTCCCCACCTAAATTATTAAGGCCAAATATCTTGGCCTGACATTTGATGCCTGTCATCATTTGCAACATTGTCTGAGGATTCCAGCCTTAACCTTCCTCACTCCCTATTTGCCTCACGCTTCAGAGATGTGAGATAAATCGCTTCTTAAACTCACCCAAGCTTTTCCCAAAGGGCAATTCGGGAAGGAAAGTAGGGGGAGAGGTAGACGATAGGGATGGGGGAGAGGTAGACGATAGGGATGGGGGAGAGGTAGACGATAGGGATGGGGGAGAGGTAGACGATAGGGATGGGGGAGAGGTAGACGGTAGGCATGAGGAGGATCTGAAGTTCCACAAGAGGCTAGAGGAATCAGGGCGGAGGACCAGAAGATGGGAAGAGAGAAGTGGGTGGTGGGGCAGGCTGAGTAGAGAAGGCGAGAGGTTGGACCGCAAGACAGGAAGGGCAGGAAGTGTCTGGGGGTGAGAATTTCCGGAGGGACTGCGTACCTCTGGGTTTCGATCTGCCTACCACTAGTCCTTGGGTCAGGAGCTCCTGTGAGGATGGGAGTGGGGAGTGTTGGCCCGATGGAGGGGTGGGGTTGAGAGTCGGCTGTGGCCGGTCAGTAGAGGCCAGAGGAGAGGACCTGGATGCGGGTGGGGAAGGGAAGGGCAGGGCAGGGCAGGGCCGGGCAGGGAAGGGAAGGGAAGAGCAGGGAAAGGAAGAGCAGGGAAGGGAAGGGAAGGGAAGGGAGGGCGGGAGGGGAGGTTTCCAGGGAAGGGAGGGGAGGGGATTGAACGAAGCCTCTGGAACCCAAGGTAGGAAGGGAAAGATTTGTCGCTAGGGCAACCAAAACGCCCAGTAGTCTCCACGGCAACAGAAGTCTCGTGAGGGAATTGCCTTGGGCCTGGAGAGGACCTCGGAAAACGTTTATTTATTTTTTTCGAAATCTAAAAGTGTCTGGGTAAGATCTGCGGGGAGGTCGGCAAGCTGTTTGGGTTCATACAGGGCCCCCGCAGGGCTCCTGTGCGGTCTCTGTAGAGGGGTCACCGCGGGCCGTGGGGCTCTGGGGGGCAGCGGGGCTCTGTGACTGGGGTGAGGACCGCAGGACCTCAGGTAGCCGGAGCTGGGGCGGAGTCTGTCTTTAGACCCCGCAAGTCCAAGTTGGAAACCAATAAAATAGGGAAGGGGGCGGGTCTTACTGTGAAAGACCAATCGAACTGGTCGGGGGCGGAGCGTCATGCTGACGTCAAGCCGAGGCCGCCGCCGCCGCCGCCGCGGGGCCTGGTGATCGCCGGTCTAGCGCTGCCCGGAGTCGCCCAGGCCCGAACTCCCGCCCAGGTCCCCGGCCTGGCCCCAGCCGGCTCATCCCCAGCCTCCGGCCCGCGAAGACTGCGGAGGTCACCCCCTGGGGTTGGGGAGCGGAGCTGCGGGTCAGATCTGATAGCGTCCCGCGCTGGCCCGTCCGGCCCCGCCCCTGCCCGGGGCCATGGCCCAGCCCTTGTCCCGGCCCCTAGTCCTATCCCGATCCGGGCCTCGGCCCCGGGTCCCGCCCTCGCCCCGCTGCCCAAATCGGTGCCCGTCCAGGCCTGGGTCGCAGCCACTGCCAAGGACCGGATCCCAGTTCTTCCCCTCGCTTCCTTCTGGGTCCCAGCTTCGGGCTCCCCCCGCGTCCCAGTCCCTGCCTGTGGCCTGGCCCCCGTCCCCGGCCCTGCCAGTGTTCCACCCCATTTCGCACATTCCAGCCCAGCCCCTATCCCAACCCCATTCCCAGGGTCTGTCGAAGCCCCTAGCCCGACCCCATCCCCATTGCCAACCCAGGCTTCTGTCCCTTCCCCTAACCGCACACAAGCCCAGCCCGATAGCTCTTCCGTGGCCCACATCCCTGAGTTTACCAAAGGCTCTCCCCATACCCCCCTCTCTCTCACACTCCCCGCCCCTCTCCCAGCCCCGACTCAGATCTGGGCTCCAGCTGTCGCCAGGCCTTTTGCTGCTGTTGCTGTTCTCTGTCCTTGGCCACGGGGCTGGTGAGTGCCGAAGCAGGAAAGACCGAGGCAGAGATGGGACTCAGACCGGGAGGGCTGGACTGGAGGGCTTCTGCAGAGGTGGCCTGGGGAACTAGATCTCCCGGGGAGACGCAGGGGAAAAGAACTGGGAGAGAGGTCTTCAACAACCCGCAGGGTTGGGAGGGGGTGGTAACTGTGGGCCTGGAGATTCAGCAGGTGGCCCCAATGCTTCTCCTAACCCCACCCTGGCTCTTACTTTCCCAAGGAAGCCTCCAGGGCTTTGCTGTCGCTCTCAGAGTTTGATGGGGGCAAGACGGTCTGACACGAGAGAGCCTCTAGGCCAGTGTGGGAAGATAGAGCCCAAAGCCTTTGAAATATGGGGCATGTGAAGGAAACAGGTTGAAAGATAACGTGGAACGAACAGATGAACGTGGGTGGCTTAGTCACCATTCTAACACATTTTCTTCTTGTAATGAGTCTTATTTTAAGTACGTATGATTTGCCTAGAAATAATTTCTGCCACTCTTAAGGGCAGGGGGACAAGCTCCCCAGGCCACTTTACTGTTTGGGAAACTGAGGCTTAGTAAGGAAGCGGTTTGCCCAAGCTCACACAGCTTGTAAATGGCAGTACTGGGGTGTCCTTAATTCCTTTCCCAGGAATTCTTAATTCCTTATGTTTTCTTTCTACTGCAACCTATAAGGAAAGCTGTCTCAAGTGGGGAAAGGCTCAAAGCACAAGCCCTCTTTACCCTGACTGCCCACCAGAGGGCTTCCTTCACTAACCGTCCTGAGCTAGATGCCAGCCCAGGCCCAGCAGCCAGGGAGGGAGAGGCTCAACTTCCCAATGGGTGGGCTATGAGTGAGAATGGGGTCCTGGCCTTAGCGATGTGCATAGCTTATTGTGTCTGAGCATTTGTGTGTGTGTGTGTATCTGAGGCATGCTGGGCATATGCAGCCTGTGCGCATGCTTGTATGTTGTTTGGTGCATGAGTGTCTGTGCATTCCCTGGATGCCTTTGTGATTTGCGAGGGGGAGGATCCATGTTGTGACCCAGGCACATGTCTCTTCAGCTTTTCCCGAAGCGTCCCTTTCAGATGTGGTCGCTCCTGGGTTGAAGGCAGTGATAGGTGCTTCCCAACATATAAGCAGTTCAGCTACCTCCAGCCACTCTCCTGAAGGGGCTCAGGATGATTCCTGCCACGGAAAAATCGGGCATTCAGCAGAGGCAGTAGCCAGGTCAGTTTTGGTGAGGGGGAGGCCGAACTGTTGAGCCCCTGCCATCATGAGTACCTGGAGTGACATTGGGCTGGCTAGGGGTGGAGTGTGACAGAGAGACACAGAGTGGTGAAAAGCTGAAAGATGTAGCCGGAGACACGATCCACCCCGGGCCCATGTGGCTGCTTTGGCCAGAGTGGTCATAAAGGTGGCCCAGAACACCAAATAGGTCCCATTGCAGGCAGGGCTCCCTGAGTGCTGTGAATAGTCACTGCCTAGCCACTGGACCCGGCACCTGGCAGGTAGTGATGGCTTTGGCCTTGTAGAGGCTGACAGTGTCACAGAAGTACCACAGCATAGGACTGTACACATTTGGCCTCAGTAAATGTCATTGTTGGGTTTGATCTCCCATTAGGAGTGGAAGTCACCGCCTGGACTTTTAGCCTCATCCCCGAACCCTGGAGCTGTCTCCCTGGTTTAGCTGATGGCCTGCCTGGCTATAGGAAGTGACGGTTTGTTCTGCTCAGTGCCAGCATGGTAGTCTTGCGGGGAGTGTCACGGGGGAAAGTCCTAGGCTGCTAACAGGAAGGTAGGAAGTTCAAACCCATTCAGAGGCACCAAAGACAGGTCTGGTTGTTTCCTTCCAAAAGGTCACAGACATGCAATTGCTAGGACACACGGCTCTGCTCTCACATGCGCGGGGTTGCCATGAATCATTGACTGGATGGCCACTGTTTAAAAACACTTTTTTTTATGTGGGTGCAGGGCCAGCCTCAGCCTGTGTGTGTGTGTGTGTGTGTGTGTGTCCTTGTCTGTGTTTTAGGTGGAGAATAATCAGCCAGTTCCATTCTGGCAGTACGGGCAGGCTACATGCCTCTGGTACATGGCTCTGACAGTCCCTATTAAAATCCCAAACCAAAGCTTGGAGTCAAGGGGGACTGGAGACACTTTACCAGAACTGCTGCCCACTCCTTTTCCCCACCAGTCTATTTGTGACCTCTTTAGGCCACTTTGGGGGAGGCTTAGCTAATTCCCAGCCCTTCAGATCATGCCGTGTTCCTCTGAGTCACAAAGGTCATTGAGCTTGTCCATCCCTGTTTCTCGAAGGACTCCTGGCCAACATCTCTTTCCTAGCTGTAGGCCCAACTCTAACCTCAAAGCCCTGCCATCTGGTCAAGTCTGACTCATAGCATCCTGACAGGACAGAGTAGAACTGCCCCTATAGCAACCCGAGAGGGCCGCTATGAGTTTCCGAGGCTGTGACTCTTTACAAGAGTAGGAAGCTTTGTCATTCTCCTGGAAGACTGGCAGGTGGTTTTGAACTGCTGACCTTGGGGTTAACAGTCCAACCTGTAACCACTACACCACCTGGGCTCCTTTCCTAACAGTAGCAATGGCTAAGCGTTGTCCTAATCCAGGTACCAGCTTTAAGGAGGCGCCGTCCTCCTCTAACCCCAGCAGAGGGTGCTCTAGAGCCCCGCTGTCTTCCATTAGCAGGGACTGCTGAGTGTGAGCGCTCCGACCTGTGAGCCAATCTGGGGTCCCAGGCCATGCACAGCTTGCAAGGTGGCAGGTCGCTCTTGCTGTCTCCTGAGGCTAATTATGTGACCTGAACAGACCAGACTAGTCCTCGGGGGTGATGATTCTTTGGCAGAGGCCAGGGAAACCTGGGGCTAGTGGCCACCACCTACTTAGGGCAGCTCCCTGGGTGACCCTGGAGGTTGCGGCA